GTTTGCATTTTCCAGAATGTGATATAAATTAAATCAAGCAAATTTTGAGTTTGGTTTTTTTCACTTAACATGATGCTTTTGAGAGTTGTCCATACTGCTGCATATGTTATTCATTTCTCCCTTGTTATTCCTTAGTAGTATCTTTTTGTAAGGCTCTACCACAATTTGGTTATCCATTCACAATTGATGGGCATTTGGGTTACTGCCAGGTTTTGGCAATTTAAAATACAGCTGCTATATACATTAGTTTTGAGATGTTTCTGTGCACATGTTCCCATTTTAATTGAAATACCCACGAGTGAGATTTCTGGATCAAATGGATCACAAACCTAAATGTAAAACCTAAATCTATTAAACTTCTGCAGCTACATTTTCCAATATAACTTTCTGTAGTGATGGAAATATCTTATTATTCTGCCCCCCTATCTCCTGTTCACCATCCCTTACAATTCAGTTCAGTTATTCGTGTCAATTTTATTTTCTTAAGTGTGGGTTGTGTGTATTGTTGCTGTATTAGATGCAGACCTGTTATATACAGACTAGAGGCCTGGTGCACGAAATTGTGCACTTCCGGGGGAGGGCGGGGCAGGGTCTCTCAGCCCTGCCTGTGCCCTCTCACAGTCTGGGAGCCGTTGGGGTATGTCAGGCTCAGGGCTTCTGGCTGAGTGGCACTCCCCCTGTGGGAGCACACTGACCATCAGGGGGAAGCTCCTGCATTGAGTGTCTGCCCCTGGTGGTCAGTGTGCATCATAGCAACCAGTCATTCCACCATTCAGTCGATTTGCATATTAGCCTTTTATTATATAGGATGTGATGACTGGCTGATGGAGGTGAAAGCCACACACCTTGGATGCTGTGTATGGGATCCGGCTTAGGGCAGGCAGGTCATTCTTAGTGTCAGCTGCTTCTCTGGCCTCACACTGGAACCTAAAGAACCCGAGGAGCTGTGCAGACAGGACCTTGCTCTCTTGCTTTTCTCCACAAAGATCCCAAGACCAGTGCGTGATGATGTTACATTGTGGAAATAGACTGGAGCTGGGAAATACAGAATCTAGTGGGGCTGGGACTTAGCACAATTTCTGGATTGTGTTTATGTTTCTTGCAGTTTTGCAATCTTGAGGTTTCTTTTCTTGTTGTTCTCCCTTTTAGAGTAAAAGCCTTAGAGAATTTCAGCTTTCTCCTAGTGTGTCAAAGTCAATCAACCAAAAGGCAGCAAGCACAAGTGTTCATGTCCATATTTATATTTGTACCAGAGTCCACCTCTGAAGGGCAGCATGATAATCAGTAAAGTTAGTGACCCTGAGAGGATATAAAGTTCAGGAGGCAGGTAAAGGGTGGTATGCCTGAATATCACTTAAGAAAGGAAATAGTACTATCTTGCCAGGATATGCACTGCTAACTTTTATGCACCTACCTGGTTATCCCAGGAAAACCTCCATAAATAGCATGAGTTATTGATCCAGTGCTATTTTTTATTAGTTTTGAGAGAGGGAGGAAGAGAGAGAGAGAAAGAGAAACATTGGTCAGTTGCCTCCTGCGGTATGTGTCCTGACCTAGAATTGAACCCAACATCTTTTGTTGTATGGGACAACACTCCAACCAACTGAGCCTTACCGCACACTGGCCAGGGCAATCTACTTTTTTTTGCTAATTTTTTGTGTGTGTGCTGCTAGGCACTTATAAACAACTAGAGGCCCAGTGCATGAAATTTGTACATGGGTAGGGTCCCTGGCGGCTGCCTGCTGCCAGCCGGGGCCTGCCTTCCTGCAGTTGACTGGCCCCAGCCGTGGGCAAACTATGGCCCGCAGGCCGGATCTGGCCCATTTGAAATGAATAAAACTAAAATAAAAAAAGACCGTACGCTTTTATGTAATGATGTTTACTTTGAATTTATATTAGTTCACACAAACACTCCATCCATGCTTTTGTTCCGGCCCTCCGGTCCAGTTTAAGAACCCATTGTGGCCCTCGAGTCAAAAAGTTTGCCCACCCTTGGTTGAACTCCTGGTCAAGGGGACAATTTGCATATTAGGCTTTTATTATATAGGACTAGAGGCCTGGTGCACAATATTCATGCACGGGGGGGGGGGGGTGTGGTCCCCTCAGTGAGCCTGCACCCTCTCCAATCTGGGACCCCTTGGGGGATGTCTGACTGCCTTGGGGGATGTCCGACTGATCCTGGGGATCGGGCCTAAACCGGCAGTCAGACATCCCTCTCACAATCCAGGACCACTGGCTCCTAACTGCTCACTTGCCTATCTGCCTGATCGCCCCTAACTGCCCCCCCTGCTAGCCTGGTCACCTCCAACTTCCCCCCACCCCTGCCAACCTGGTCACCCACAATTGCCCCCCCTGCCAGCCTGGTCACCCCTAACTGCCACCCCCCCCCCAGCCTAGTCACCCCCAACTACCTTCCTTGCCAGCCTGGTCACCCCTCACTTCCCTCCCTGCTGGCCTGGTCGCCCCACACAGCCTATTTGGTTGCCCCTCACTGCCCCCCCTGCCAGACGGGTCGCCCCACACAGCCTGTTGTTCAATCGTTTGGTTGTCCCTCACTAACACTCCTGCTGGCCTTGTCACCCCGCTCAGCCTGTTCGGTCGTCTGTTTGGTTGTTTTGGATGTGACGGCCCCTGGCTCTTTATATATATAGATAAGAAGGAGAAAGTAATTTGCTTCTCAATTTTAATAAAGATAGCCAAACCATTAACCTGAGTTCTGGGATGCTTTTCCTGTGAGGCTGTTCATTCATTTAATACATATTACACCAATACATTGAGCATCAGGCACTGAAGGGCTGGAAATATCATGGTGAGAAATAGAAACAAAAGTGTCACCTTCAGTGAGCTTATAGTGGAGAGAAAATGTGATCAAATAAACAGAAATACATTTGAAATTTGATGGGATAACTGCTGTGGTACAGTAAAAACCTTCATCAAAGACAAAGGACCTCACTTAGTGGGGCAGGGGAGGCTGGCTTCAGACAAGGCTTTCTTGAGGAAGTGACAATGAGCTAAGACTGGAAGGGAGAGAGGAGTTATTATGGAGTGAATGGGAAAAGAACATTCCTGGAAGAGGGAACAGCTTCTTGTCTTGGAAGGACAAGAACATCAAAAAGTTAAGCTGAAGCCCAGCTGCTGTGGCTCAGTGGTTGAGCACTGGCCCATGAACCAGGAGGTCAGGGGTTTGATTCCCAGTCAGGACACACACCTGGGTTGCAGGCTTGATCCCTAGTTGAGGGCATGTAGGAGGCAGCCAATCAATGATTCTCTCTCATCATTGATGTTTCTATTCTTCTTTCTCTCTCCCTTCCTTTCTGAAATTAATTTAAACATTTCTAAAAAAATTAAGCTGGACTTGCTTGAAAGATGGAAAGAATGGTGGCTGATGTTTCAAGAAGAGGATGTAGCCTGAAACTTGTGAGGAAGATTCAGCTCTCCCAAGCCTGGAAGAAAGGATGGGGTTGAAGGGTGATATGGAGGGTAGCTGGGGGTGGTAGACTCCTGGACCTTGACAGGATGCAATGTCTCAGAGGTGGCTCAATTATGGGTGGTAACAAAGGGCTACATATTGGCCCTTCAGACCATGGAAGGCTTCAATGAGGGCACTGGCCTCTTCCTTCTCTACACCCCCCCCCCCCCCCCCCCCCAAGTCTGGATGAAGGCAAGGATTAACACTTGATGGCTAATTCATAAGCACAAAAAGCAATGCAACAATAATACCTGAATGAGAGGCAATATGTGTGGTGGAGGGCTAAGTTCAAATCCCAGCTATACTATTCAACAGATTTTCTGCCTGGCAGTTACTTGACTTCCCTGGGCCTCAGTTGCCTCACCTGTAAAGCAGAGATAACAAAATCTGTTATACCACGTGGCGGGGGGATTTTAGTTGGCTAATACATGTGAAGTTCTTAGAAGTGTCTGTCACAAAGTAAGTTCCACATACAAGTTAGGGGGGAAATGGCAGCCAGATGTGAGGTCCTCCTCCAATGATCTTGGAACCTGTACTATCCTGAGGGGCCTGTAGGGGCCAGGGGGCTCCAAAGTGGGCTGAATTCCCAGCTAAACTGTGGGAAATGGTTGAAGTTTGATTGGGAAAAACAAATGTTAATGTAACTTTTTATTTTGCACCGGAGTTCTCAGACCACTGCTCTTTCGGATCCATTGGCATGCTCCAAAGCAAGTACATACATTCTAGAAAAGGTAGTCCTGGAGGTAAACTGGATTAAAGAAAAAGAAAGAGCCCTAACCGGTTTGGCTCCGTGGATAGAGCATCGGCCTGCGAACTGAAAGGTCCCAGGTTCGATTCCGGTCAAGGGCATGTACCTTGGTTTCGGGCACATCCCCAATAGGAGATGTGCAGGAGGCAGCTGATCGATGTTTTTCTGTCATTGATGTTTCTAACTCTCTATCCCTCTCCCTTCCTCTCTGTAAAAAATCAATAAAATATATTTTAAAAGGAAAAGAAAGATGCCGGATTTTAAGAGTCACCAGTCCTCGAAGCCCTGAAATTGTTTCCTTCGCACGGGCAGGGGTAAGGACCCCGACACCAGCACTCGGGTTTGGTGGGCTAGCCTGGGAACCCAATGAACCACCACTGAAAACTGATGTTCTGGGGAAAGCCCCAACATCTGAAACGTTCTGTCCTGATTTGTGCGATCCAGCTGTGGCTCAAGAGGGAAACAGGGAGTAATTCACGACATCACGACATATCTGGGAAGCTCTCAGAGACCAGGCTCGGCGCGGTCTCCTGCCTCGCTCCGCCGTCACCCAAACAGAAAAGCAAAGAAACGAATGTTAATGATGAACAAGTCCCGGAACGGCAGCCACCGCTCAGAAGCCCGGCAGGTGTGGGTCTCAGGCAGGGGCCGCGGCAGCCCGCGCAGTTGGTCGCTCCGCCCCGCCCGGCCCCGCCCCACCCCGCGGCCTCCTGCCCGCGCCTGCGCCCTGGCGCCGCCGCCGCCGCCTCCTGCAGGTGCGTGTCCGCGGGCCGGGTCCCGGGGCCTCTCAGCTCCCGCCCGGGTCCCGCCGACGACGCGCTCCCGCGGGCCGCGCGCAGCTCCCGGTGCGGACCCGGGCCCGGGTCGGAGCGCGCATGCGCAGCCAGTCTCTTCCCTCCCTCTCCCAGCCGCAGCCCCGTCCCCGCCCCACCCCCGCGCTCGGGGCTCCCGGCGTCGGCGGTTGGGCGGGGGAGGACGGGCGGATGCGCGGAGGGGAGCGGCCCGGCCTCTGCGGGAGGGCCTAGGCTCTTCGGCCCGGTGTCCTCTGGCCCCGCACCGGGGCGGCGGCTGCACGCGAGACCAGGGCGGGGGCAGGAAGCCAGGCTGCAAAGTAACGCGGCCCGAGCAGGTGGGCTGGTGGGCCGCTCGAGGGGGGCCCGGGAGCCCCTGCGCGGAGCGGAGCGCCCCCTCCGAGCAGTCACCCTGGTCACCGCAGCGTCCGGGTGGCAGAGGGTGGGGGCCTGGGGCAGCGCGGTGGCCGTGGGCCTGGGAGGCGGGTGGGATCGGGCAGAGTGTAAGGTGCAGATGTCAGGACAGTGACCAGCCTGGCCGCGGGGTGTGAGGGGGGCAGAAGCCGGCCGAGGAGGGTGATGCCCTAGGCTGTGCGGGTTGAAGGTCCGGGGACAGTTCGGAGCTTGGCCCTGTGGGTGGGAGCCGTCTGTCTGGAGCCCGGGGAGGAGGGGCCTCAGAGAGTTTGGTGGGAAACCAGGCGAGGGCGTCCCCGGGAGCCAGGAGAAGCAGGAGGAGAGGTGAGCAAATGGGTCAGAGACTGGACTTCATCGAGGTTTGACCTGGCGGAGGTCGCCAGTGACCTTGTCGGGAGCACGTGGTAGAGGAGGGCGGGGAAGGAGCCTGCCGGTGTTGACAGCCTGGGACTGGTGCGTTTCATAAGTTTAGCTCGTGGGTGTTCAAAGTATTTCTTGAACGCCTGTGTAAGTTTTGGGAGTTCCTTTGCAGTATATTTCTCATGAGCTTTCATTTTTTTGCGTGAAATATTTTTCTCTTGCATTCCTGATATAACCTTCCATTTATTATATTTTTCAGAATTAGTAGGTTGCCCCCTTTTTCCCACAGGGAACATACATTTTTCTTTTTTCCTACTTCCATAGGTGAGTTTCAGGTTTCACAAGAAAGCCTGGTTACACTGGGGACTGCCATTCCAGTGGTTCTCAACCTTCCTAATGCCGCGACCCTTTAAAACAGTTCCTCATGTTGTGGTGACCCCCAACCATAAAATTATTTTCGTTGCTACTTCATAACTGTAATTTTGCTACTGTTATGAATCCTAATGTAAATATCTGATATGCAGGATGTATTTTCATTGTTACAAATTGAGCATAATTAAAGCATAGTGATTAATCACAAAAACTATATGTAATTATATATGTGTTTTCCGATGACCTTAGGCGACCCCTGTGAAAGGGTCGTTGGACCACCAAACCGGTCGCTACTCACAGGTTGAGAACCGCTGCATTAGACTAATGCCAGTGTTTGGGAGCCTGTACCACCTCCAGAAAGCCTGTTTGATGAATGAGTTTATTTCCTCCCCTGAAGCTTGTCTTCTCCCCCTGAAGATACAATCAAGGCAGAATAATTGGTAGTTTCAGCCAGGGCAGTTTTCACCCTGGGGGTTTCTGAAGGGGATAACCTGAGTTCTCATTGCCCTGTGGCCTTTCCCTGTTCTTCTGGGAACCTCCTTTTACACTTGAACAGGGCTGTGAGCCTGTGGAAGGTAGGACCACTGCTCACTCCCACTCCCCCCGGAAAGCAGGTATATGTTGGCACTCAGACAATATTTTGTGGTAGCCTCTTTAAAACAGCCTTATGATCTGAGCATTTCTGATCTTGGAAATAAATTTCTGGTGGCACTGACCAGAAAAGATGCGAACATTTTGTTTTCATTCTCTACTTTGCTTATACATTTACTGAGAGATTTGCAGACCATCTTGTAAATTAACAGGAAATTTGGCAAAACAATTACCACATTTATTTAAAAAAACAACAACGTGTGAAATGTTGACTAATAAAACTGGTAGTAGAATGGATTTTGTAACCTGGCAGACCAAAATTTTCTCACTGGTTCATTATGTCAGCTATACATTAGATTTTCAGTAATAATTAGTATGATAAAAGATTTGAAATTCAAAAATACACAGAGCATTTTTAATTTTATACAATTCTTGAGTGTGTGTATACATGTATGTGTGTATATATAATACATGTATGTCATTAAACATAATTCACATGAGAACTTAAGCTATCGTTACAAAATACTTGCTGATTGCATTGCCTAGGCCAGTGGTCGGCCAACTGCGGCTTGGCAAACCATGGCTCGCGAGCCACATGCGGCTCTTTGGCCCCTTGAGTGTGGCTCTTCCACAAAATACCGACTTCTGCACATGGGCCACGAAGTTTCAATCACACTGTGCGTGCGTGCCCGCATGTGGTATTTTGTGGAAGAGCCACACTCAAGGGGCCAAAGAGCCGCATGTAGCTCGTGAGCCGCGGTTTGCCGACCACAGGCCTAGGCAAAGGATCTAGAAGCTAGTGATTTTTTGGAAATGTTGAAACATGAGCAAGTAAATCTTTTTTCTATTTTTTTACTTTGAGTTGAGTGCTCTGGTGAAAGTAATTATTATTACTTAATAATAAAAACATTTGAGTAAAGAAACTTAGATGAAAAATAGTAACATTTTAACCAGATAATACAAGTCCTAATGTTGTCAATCCTACAATTAAAAATTCCTTAATATTCTCTGACAACGCAACAAATTCAAACTCATGTTCAGAGTAGAATGAAGACTTGTCTTCATTGCACAGCTACTCAGCAGATGACCCATCCTTAGACCCTCATGTAGAAGAGTTACACTGATAGCAGCATAGTCAACTGGTTTATGTTGCTGCCTCTGCCTTGTAAGAGCATCCAAACCTGTAGTGAATTTTTATAAGAATTTATTGGAGCCCAAACTGATGACATTGCCAGAAAGCAAGTTCTCAAATTCTCTGGAGAATGAGATTTGCAGTTTCTTTTTCTTCTTTTTATTTATTGATTCTAGACACAGAGGGGGAGAGGGGAAGCAAGAGAGAAGCATTGATTTGTTGCTTCACTTATTTATACATTCACTGGTTGATTCTTATATGTACCCTGACTGGGGATTTGAACCCTCAACCTTGGTATATGGGGATGATGCTCTAACCAACTGAGCTATCCAGCCAGGGCCTGAAGTGTCTTTTTTTTAAAACTTCACCCCAGGATATGTTTAAATTGATTTTTTTTTTTTTTTTTTTTTTTTTTTAGAGAGGGGAAGGAAGAGAGATATAGAAACTTCCATGTGAGAGAGAAAAATTGTCTGGTTGCCTCCTGTATGCACCCCTCAAGGATCAAACCTGCAACCTTTTGGTGTATGGGATGACACTCCAACCGACTGAGCCACCTGGCCAGGGCTGCAGTTTCTTTTATGTATTGAAATTAAAGAGGTAACTAAGGAAGATTACATGAACAAGATTATATGCTTTCTTGAGGGTGATTATGCTTATTTCAAAGGTGTGTTAACCTAGATGCACAAAAACAATGGACAGGTCTTGTTTAAGGCAGAGATAAACCTCTTAACTAAAAAGTTATATGTCTGCAGTGTGACTACCCACCATGACATGCGTAGTAAAAATTTATGATGATCAGATCACCCTGTGAGGCTCCTTTCCTAGAACCCATTTTTCATCCATACTTCTGTTGATTATCTGTTATTTTTTATTCTCACCAAAGGATATTTTTTCCATTGATTTTTTAAAGTGGTTATCAGTTTTCTCATTTTTAAAAAATATATTTTTAATAATTTCAGAGAGGAAGGGAGAGGGAGAGAGAGACAGAAGCATCAATGATGAGAGATAATCACCTCCTGCATGCCCCACACTGGAGATTGAGCCTGCAACCCGGCATGTTCCCCGATCGGAAATCGAACTGTGACCTAGTTCATAGATCGATGCTCAACCAGAGCCACGCCAGCTGGGCCATTGATTTTTTTTTTTTTTTTTTTTTTTTTTTTAGAGAGAGTGGAAGGGGGGCAGGCAAGACAGAAGAGAGGGAGAGAGAGACATCAATGTGAGAGAAACAAATCCATTAGTTGCCTCCTGCACATGCCCTGCTTGGGGCTGGGGATGAACCTACAACCCAGGTATGTGCCCTTGACTGGGAATTAAACCTATAACCCCCTTTGATGCACAGGCTGACACTGTAACCACTGAGCACACCAACCAGGGCTTTGTTGATTGGTTTTTAAATCTTTAGGTTCTTTAAAATAAATATATATATATATATATATATATATATATATATATATATATATATATATATATAGATTTCAGAGAAAAGGGGAGAGGGAGAGATAGAAACATCAATGATGAGAGAAAATCATTGATCGGCTACCTCTTGCTTGGTTCCCACTGGGGATCAAGCCTGCAACCTGGGCATGTGCCCTGACTGGAATCAAACCATGACCTCCTGATTCATAGCTCCATGTTCAACCACTGAGCCACACCAGCTGGGCTTTAGGATCTTTTAAATTATTTTTCTTCTGGTTATTTCTCCATTGATATTTAAAGAGAATGGAAGGGAGAGAGAGAGCGACACATCGATTGGTTGCCTCTAGCACAGCCCTGACTGGGGCTAGGGATGGAGTCTGCAACCAAGGTACATGCCCTTGACCAGAATTGAACCCATGACTCTTCGGTCCGTGGGCCCACATTCAATTCACTGAGCCCAACCAGCTGGCCCTAAATTCTTTTTTTTTTAATTTTTTTTTTTAAATTAAATCTTTATTGTTCAGATTACTACATTTGTTCCTCTTTTTCCCCCCATAACTCCCCTCCTCCCAGTTCCCACCCCACCCTCCGCCCTCACTCCCCACCCACTGTCCTCATCCATAGGTGCATGATTTTTGTCCAGTCTCTTCCCCCATCCACTACACCCCTTTCCGCCCCTCCCCCCAAGAATAGTCAGTCCACTCCCTTTCTATGTCCCTGATTCTATTATGATCACCAGTTCATTCTGTTCATCAGATTATTTATTCACTTGATTCTTAGATTCACTTGTTGATAGATGCGTATTTGTTGTTCATAATTTGTATCTTTACCTTTTTCTTCTTCTTCCTCTTCTTAAAGGATACCTTTCAGCATTTCATATAATCCTGGTTTGGTGGTGATGAACTCCTTTAGCTTTTCCTTATCTGTGAAGCTCTTTATCTGACCTTCAATTCTGAATGATAGTTTTGCTGGATAAAGTAATCTTGGTTGTAGGTTCTTGGTATTCATCACTTTGAATATTTCTTGCCACCCCCTTTTGGCCTGCAAAGTTTCTGTTGAGAAATCAGCTGACAGTCGTATGGGTATTCCCTTGTAGGTAACTGAGTTTCTTTCTCTTGCTGCTTTGAAGATTCTCTCTTTGTCTTTTGCTCTTGGCATTTTAATTATGATGTGTCTTGGTGTGGTCCTCTTTGGATTCCTTTTGTTTGGGGTTCTCCGCGCTTCTTGGACCTGTAAGTCCATTTCTTTCACCAGGTGGGGGAAGTTTTCTGTCATTATTTCTTCAAATAGGTTTTCAATATCTTGCTCTCTCTCATCTTCTGGCACCCCTATAATTCTGATGTTGGTACACTTGAATCTGTCCCAGAGGCTCCTTACACTATCTTCATATTTTTGGATTCTTTTTTCATTTTGCTTTTCCGGTTGGGTGTTTTTTGCTTCTTCGTAATTCAAATCTTTGACTTGAATCTTGTGATCCTCTGGTCTGCTGTTGGGAGTCTATAATATTTTTTATTTCAGTCAGTGTATGCTTAATTTCTAGTTGGTCCTTTATCACAACATCGAGGGTCTCATTAGTTTTCTTGTACATCTCATTAAGTTTATCGGCAGTCTCTAGGAGACTCTTGAAAGACCTCAAAAGTGTGGTTTTGAATTCTATATCCAGCAGCCTGCTTTCCTCCAGTTCTGTCATTTGTGTCCTGTTTCTTTGTCTAGGCATTTTTTATGCTTCGCTGTGTCAATAGAGTGGCTTTCTGTGCTAAGTGTCCCAATTACCTGAGGTAGACACTCTTGGTGCACCCCCTTGTGGTCT